AGTGTAGTGCAAAAACATGGTCTGTCTTCGATGATCGAACATTCCTGAAATCCCAAGGAGAACAAAGTGTAGAGCAGTTCATGGGGAAGTGAAACAAGAGTACCATATAACAGTACAATGCAACTCAATCACGATACTAACACCTTCTTCAGGAAAATGGAAGACTTTCAAATGCGAGTGCGACTTCTGCCCACAGACAGGTGCACGGCGTATACCCGAGCAGGCGTTTTCCCATAAAAACGCCTTCTCTGTCAGCGGCCGTAAGCAGACAAACTTCTGAAAGAATTTCGATGCTTTCAAATCAAATCTAAGCGGAACAAAGTGTAGCGAATTTGCTGAATTGAGTTCTAGAGACCCCTTAGGAAAATTGAGGCAGAAGAAAGAATTTCAGGAAAATTTCACAGTTGTTATGAAGTACTCTTCGAGTAGATTCTAACAATCTTTACCGCTTCATCACATTAATTTTGAAGGAAGTTATGGGCCTTTGAAGACTGCATAGTCGCGGTCCAGGAAAATGGCTTGAAAAAAATCAAGGTGGAAAAAACGGAACAACGGGACTATTTTTTGAGCGAGTGATTATTTCAAAAAGTTTTAGCACTTATTCGAAAGCTCTAATCTTCTAGTTTCTAATTAGCCTTAGACATCTGCAAAAAGTTGAGTATGAAGAAAGTTATGAACGTTTGAATGTCGAAAACTCGCGCCTTCTCAAAAATCGGACCACAAACCCCCCAAAAACGGAACAACGGGACTATTTTTTGAGAGATGATCGCTGGAAAATTTTCAGGTGCTTGTTCGAAAGCTCTAATCTTCTAGTTTCTAATTAGCCTTAGACATCTGCAAAAAGTTGGGTATGAAGAAAGTTATGAATGTTTGAATGTCGAAAACTCGCCTGACCAAATTCTGACCACACGACCTTATTATGACTTATTTTCTTGAAGCAACAATTCCCAAGCAGGGTTCTCACCTTCAATACTAATGGTGTGAACGATGCGCTAGCCCTAGTCAAGAACATAAGAAGTGTGACTGAACAAAAAACTCACTTGGAAAGCCGCTAGAAAGGGAACTGAACGCCTTTGAAGTGGGCGTGTGGTTTCGTCGAATCAGTGCCCACTTGCCAGCCGTGGAGCTCGCGTGCTTGGCTGCAGGTCCTTACGCGATTGCGTGAGACCGTCCCGCGTTTCGAAATTGATGCTGCCTCTTTTTGATTGGTTTCATTTGCTTTATTCATTTAATTTTTATCTGATGCACATGTCTCTGTTTGTATTGGTTCATATGCAATTGCAGCCTCACTCATTGCTGGTACTAACCAAGCAATGCCGGCGCCACAAGCTAGTTCGAACAGCTCGTCCAGAACGCCCCTTTCTTCATTTCGAGAGGAAACGTAGCGGTTTTCTTTGTTTTTATCCCGTTTGCAGTCAGCTCGGCATTCACAAGCTCAGTATCTACCATTTTTTACCCCGCGAGTTCAATCTGGAATTGTTACTTTAAGTTCAGATTTGATCCCGCTACTGGGAAATGGTCGGGTGACGTAGCTCCAATGCTCCGTAAACGGTACGCATTTGATGTGGCTACGCTTGATGACTTTATTTATGCAGTGGGTGGAAGCGATGGTACACAATGTCTGAACATTGTCGAACGGTAAGAAACATGTGGACCGTTTGTCGCTTGTTTTAAGATCTCGTTGTTGGAGGTATGATCCCAGACGGAATCAATGGATCAGTGGAGCACCTATGCTCACATGCCGAGCTGGATTATCTGTTTCCGTACTCAACGGTTGTTTATACGCTGTAGGAGGATGCGATCGATCAACATTGAATACCGTGGAGAGGTAAGATGGCTGTCACACTCGGCGATGTACAAGCGATGGAGCGATCGCGTCGCAGCGATCGCGTCGCTCTATCGCTTGTCCGACTCCGAGTGTGACGGCGGTCTAATTCAATAGATGTTGGGTTTTCTCTGATAACATATAACCGAATTATGACCAAAGTCCTTTGAGTTCACGAATTCCGATGGACTGGTTTTCAAAAAATATTGTGGCGTGGGATTAACATTTCTTGTAAAAGCATCGATTTGTGATAGGTCACACTACACATTTAAGCAGAATGAAATGCGACACATGAATATAACATCTCATGTTTTAGACTTGATCCACGAGTTGGTAAATGGGAATTGCTTCGTCCAATGTCAACCCATCGAAGCCATTTGGGGTCTGCAGCCCTCGACGGCTACTTGTATGCGGTGGGAGGACGAACTGGTTGGAACTACTCAATGAGTACAGTTGAGCAATATAATCCCCTCACCAATGAATGGTCAACAGTGGATGAAATGATGGTCAAGCGGTCGGGCGTGAGTCTGCGCTTTTATGTATCATAATGCATTTTTACCGAAGTAGGACGAAAAATGGTCTCTTTTTTAGGTAAAAGCTGTCGCTCTAAACGAAAGCTTGTATGCTGTTGGTGGGTTTGATGGCATTTCGTACCTAGGCACCGTTGAAGTTCTTGATCCTGGGACCGATCAATGGAGAATTCACAGTCACATGAATACTGAGTTGGTTTCAGTTTATGCTCCAGCATTTCTGTTTTTTTCCGACTTGGTATACTCTATGTGCTTATTGTGCAAATAATAATTCAAATTACTTTTAACTTATTCCTGATGTTAGCTGCTGTTTTTGCCCACAGTTTCCCACACAAAAGTCATGACAAGAATGTTACGCGTGTGAGTGATTACAGCTGTGGCACGTTCACAATCAGAAGCTGATTGAAGGCGGAATTCACGATGAAAAGGCAGTTCATCAGAATTAAGATAGAGGTGGTCAGTGGTGCAGGGATGAAGGAAAAACCATGAGAAACGGCCCAGAACCCGAGAAATGGGACCCCTTTGCCCGTTGATTTCCGCATTGATGCGACTCTCATCGATGCTGCCCTCTTCAACGCTAACGCTCTACCTGCTTAATGAATGGAGTCAGACTGCCAGAGGGTGGGCATGCCGCAGCGCTGTCGGCACGGGTATGGCTCTACTACGAAGCGTGCATCGTACCGCAGCTTCAGGAGCTCGCCTGCCTTTTGAATTGCTATATTTTCCTTTTTTCGACCTCCACCTTTTAGTGGAATCCTTCTTCAAGGTGTAATGGTGCCCCGGGAATGTAACCTCAAACACCCTTGTCCGGTGAAGGAGAAATGCGGGTTAGAATGCCGTCTGGGGCGAAGGGTTCTACTCATGACTCAGCATTCTTGCTATAAAAATGTGATAGTTTGCAGTCTCCCCTCAACTATGTATTTCTAGACGGTGTAGAGCCGGTGTGGCTGTTATCCGAATGGAGTAACAACGTCGGTTGCAGTGATCTACATATATACGATCCAGTGAATAAAGCACCTTCCTCCTCTTCGTGCCTTCTGATCTCGAATAACGCTCACTATTTGTGTGGTATCAATTGTAAATCTACCACTGAAGTTGCTTACTGAGCTTTTTTGCATGTAATTACTGCATAACTGTATAAAATGTGTATTTGTGTTGTTTCCTTGAAGTTTCGTGGCAAATATTATTAGAAATAAATTTGTGCGAATTTTGACCATGTTTGACCCATGCCCTAACCACCTTTGCAACATCGGTATAAAGCTAAATGAAAGTGTTATATGAATGGTGATATACACAATCATGAATGCCCTTTCTAATCGTTCTCTACCGATCATGAAAGCATTCAAAATCATACAAAGCCCGTTCAGTGAATCACGGTCGAGGAATTCCTCGACCATCGCTCTCTGCTGTGCGAGAGTAGTGCCGATAGTGAATGTACGCGCGGAGAGCACAGACGGCTCGCGGGTGGCGAGAGTGAATATCCGCGCGGAGAACGTGATCAGGCGAAAATCCTCGACGTGCCGTTGAGGAATCCTCAAGCAATATTCACCCTGCAGTGAATATTGCGGCTGACTGTTGTTTAGGCCCTTTATCTCTACGACTAAGCTAATATCAGCTGTCAGAGAAGTGCAGGATGGATTCATCCGAGTGGATTGCAATTTTTGCGGTGGCTCTAATTATAGTATTACCATTGCGATTTCATCATCCTCCCGCCAAGGCAAATGCGACCAGTGTCGAGGAATGCTCGATCGTGGTTCACCGTTTTTGAATCGAGGTCAACTCACACTATAAGGCAGGGTTGAGATTCAGCCTAAATTCAAAAGGGATAAATCTAGCAGCCCCGGAGAAATACAAAAATGCAAATAGAAATCATTCCAAAATTTGGAGAAATTAGAGTCTGAAGAGAATCACACTAAGGGAAGAATAGAAGTTTGTGTCGGTCCCTTTGAAGGACGAATTCACGATTAGAATGAAGGTCGAAGAAGGAGTAATTCACCTAGTTGAGGGACCCGCGGACCTCCTGAGGGTGCGGACTGAAGCGCAATTGGCACCGAAGGAGTTGACCTCGGCGACCTATTAAGGGGAGAGGTAACTGGGAGAGGGAATTTAGTCAGGATT